CCAATTCGGTCTGAGCTAGCGTGGTGGTTAATGCTCAATTCTTGTTCGTGTGAGAAGAGGACTTTGCTCAGCAGTGGGCACTTTTGATGATGGAATAAGCTCGCTACAACCTCCCAATAACGCTGCAACTCCTGTAAGCCAGGATCTACAGTAGATACAACCATGAAAACACCGGAGCACTGAAGTTCGCCGCGTCCCAGGGACATGAATAACTGCCATGGATCCCGCATAGGCTGATGATGCGATGTTTAACTTGTAGAGAGGGTGAATAGCTTAAAGCTGTTTGATAAATAAGTATGATGTTTGGACGGTTCACAAGAGTAGGACCGGCTGATGACTCAGCTTCTAGATGATGACGGAGAAAATGATGATGATTCTATCTTAAAAACATGTCTTATTCATTTCGGATTATTTTTGTAAGGGGATAATCATTAAATGACTCCTGCCATCCAGGGGTAGGCGAGAGAGAGTGTCAGACTCTTACTGACAAAAAACCCCCCGTTCCTTCTCCTACTCTAGGTCGAGGTCGCGGTGCCTCATTGCGCTTAACCCGCAACCCTGGCTAAGCATCAGCCCTATAGGGCCCCGTCTGTGGTGGTCTATTGGCTCTTTGAGGCGCGCGCGGAACGCTACGCGCCGTACGCTCGGATCTGGTTCTGGTCGGGCGGCGAGCTACCCTTACTCGCCTACCGGAGGATAACTCCCTCACCACGCGGTCCGTTGCCTTGTATTCATTTCGGATAGGATCGGAATTATCGGATATTTGTAAGTGGACATCCTTGCTTGATGTATGAAGTGTAATGTTACAAGTTTCTTGCAATTTACGCGAAAGTGTTTGTGCTGGTGATAGCGGCTCGGGTCATAATACTGACCCTCGGTTTTAGCGCTATCTAAAATATTCATGATAATTTGTCCACCGTCTTTCTTTTTCCACGTCGTTTTCCGAATCAAGGTTTTCTTTTCAAATAATATCTTCTTAGTTTATTTCATTTATGTTTTTGTGGTATGCTTTTTTTTGTGAGGGGATAATCATTCTTCTTCTCGGCTTCGGGTTAAGCGCAATAAGATACCACGGCTTTGGCCTGGACCAGGAGAAGGAACGAAGGGGGTTTAGGCAGTAAGAGTCTGACGTTCCTTCTCCATACCTTGGGCGAGAGAAGCCATTTGATGATTTTCCTTCCTCAATAAAAAAAAAGTATTGTAAATAGACAGACAAAATAATAAATGTCTTCAAATATTTCTGTCTGTTATTTATCAGAAACTAATATATTACATCGAGAAATCGCAATTAATTTAACTTTTATTGCTATTGCTAATCGCATAAATTGTTGCTATTGAAATTAATTTGCCAATTAATTTTAAAACGATTTATTTAATTCGTCAAATTGAATTAATTTTGATATATTAGACTATCTTTTTTAAAATTAATTTGTATTTTTTATTCGATTTGTGATTTATGTTTTCTGTGATCGTAACTGAATTACAAATAATGTAAATTTAATTAAAAAAAAATGATATATTTTGACAAGGAGGGCGCCATTTTTATTAGTTATTTAGTGTTGCAAATTAATTTAATTGCATATTTAGATTTATAAAGACGTTAATGGAAACCTGGAATGATCTGTTATGGAATAACTTGTACTTATCTGTTATATTTCAAAATATTTACAAAAAGAAATCGTCTTATATATAATACTCAAGAACGACTGGTCTGATTTCAAGATATTTCAAAAAACTTACTGTACAACTTTCAGATCATGGGAAAATTAAGTAATTTAAACATATTACTCCATTCATATTTCTATAGAAACAATATAAATATAAATAACATTAAAAAACGAAATAGGCTGTAAATAAATAACCCCTCTGTCACTCAAAAAAGTAAATTAGGCAATGAATGTTGCCAGCACACTTATTTTACACACATAAATTGACTTTTTCTAAAGACATTCACTTTTATCATAGAGAATACAGCCTAAACCGATATTTCATTCACTTTACAACGTTTGAGGCCATCCAGTGACATTTGAAAGTAAGCTAGAATCTTTGCACAGGTAAAAAATAAACCTTAAAAGGGCCAAGCGTTTGGTACGCCATCTTTTGGCCCAATTACGAAAGTTTTTAGTCATTTGAAATATTTAGAGCAACGTGTTATTAGTAATTGAATTGGTGTTAGTCATAGATTAATTAAGGCAGTAATATTATTTTGGTATCTCGGACATTTTTTTGTCATTAGAGTGTTTATCATGAGCCCGGAGAGGGTTTGAGCATTAATCTCCACGCTTGCTCAAGACACATTGGCGATTTCGAACTTCAAATTAGACATCATATGTCTAAGTTCTTTCAAGATGTTCCTTCACCGTTTGTCTAAATTATCTAAGAAACTACAATAGTACTTGTAATGGAAAATTTCAGATTGGTAATTGCCAGGTTTCAGAATCCCACCCTCATGCGAGGAACGGGGCGCCTTTACCTTGAGGCCAACACGATAAACGCACGCTCTAGCATACCATTTTCCAAGGGGAAAAATATGCAAGAGACTCTTATGAACAACTAAATCCATAGGTACAGATATAAAAAAGTGGGAATCGAAATCCCAATATTACTTAAACGCAACATTAATTAAGTACTTCTTACAGTAAAGACGTCAATAAATCAATATATTATTATCTTATTTCATTATAACCTTAAATAAAAATATATAAAGTGCAATGTATCACCCGTCACATCTAGTTATTGTACCACTTAATTTCATCAAACAAATCACAAAAACTTATTACAACATAATTGCAGAGCAATCCATCAAAATTCAGACATCATTATATCGCCAGCAATTTAGGTGAACGAAACACACATAAAGACATACAAACAATAAATAAAAAATAGAATTATAATGGCAACACTTGTGAAATGAAAAAAAAAACAACTTTCAATTGATTTATTTTTATACATATATTTGTAATGAAATAAATATTGTAATATATCATGACGATTTTTTATTCGATTAGTTAATCGGGTGATCTCTAATCGATTTTTAAATGGTGGGTATCGATAAAATATAGTATTGAAATCGATTATTATGCATTGAGATTGCCAAAAATGTGCACATAATAAATACTTATTATTACTTTGAAGCTACCACACAATGCTTGGTGTTGCTAGATTACAGATATGGGTTGTTTTCTTATTTTTAAAAGAAAACGTTCCTCATGCGTATATATCGTACCGATTAAGTATATGAAATTACTAGCTACTCTCGCGCGGTTTCACCCGCGCCGAGCAGGCTCTATTTAATCGTAGCGTAATCACTCAGGAACATTGTAGCAGCGGTTCCAAAGATTACCCGCTACATATAAACTTACAAATTTTACGTCTTTACAATATTAGTATAGATTATAATTAAATTTATAGTTTCCAATTGTATCTTCCATTCTAGCCGATTCTTTAATAGGACTAGTAAAAGGAGTGTCAGACTCTTACTGAATAAAACCGGCCTGTTCCTTGACTTGATTCGCCGCCCAGGCTAAGCATTGCTCATTTTGGCCCCTATCTTTGGTGGTCTATTGTAACGTACGCTCGAGAGATTCATATTTAATTTTCCATCATCATCATCATCATCAGCCTGATCTCGTCCACTGCTGGACATAGGCTTTCCTAATAGGGATGTCTCCTAGGTTAAAACAACAAGATTCTAATTAGTCCGTCAGTTAGATTATAGAAATATACTCGATACGTATTTTTTTATTTGTCCATACGAATAATATTGACAAAGATACAGCACATTCAAATTCAGGAGTAGTGGCTCGTGACTTTCGTAAAGAATTTACGAAATGATGACGAACTTTCGCCGCTCTGTAACTTTGTTATTTTGAGTTTTAGAATCAAAAGAAAAAATACGTATCTACTATTTTCTGGCGTTTTAAAAGATGGACTTATTATTATTTTTAGTCGTCATCCCTATTGCACGCCAGTTTCAGATTTCGATGGGAATAGATAGCTATTTGTATATTAACACCGTGTTGCCTCAAAACGTCATTCACATCGTCTAGAATAAAAATTAAAATGATCAATGCTTGATTTTTTTTTCTCCTATAAAACAATAGATTGGCGTGTGAATCTGTTGTTTTTTTTTAACTTTGACGCCTCGTCTTTTAACCTTCCCTTCTGTTTAATGGCTTTATTTAATTTGTGTATATGCTACTTTGAGTTGGTTGGAAAAAAATAGTGATTGTTCGTTGAAACCTATGATTGATTGGACTTTGAGGTCTAATAGACATATTGTTCTGGTGTAATTGATATTGTATGTATTAAGTTGTAAGGTTGGCTTTTGTTTAATAATACAATGGTTGCAAGTGTTTAAGTTAATTGCTGGAGCTGTGGTTAAGGTCGTCATAGATATAGGTAGGAACTGTGGTTTAGCTCCGAACGGGAGTGGGAACGGGATAGTGTTTTTAAAGTTAATTCAAACAAATAATGAGGTATTGGTTTGGGTTGTATGTTTATCAAACATAATTATTATCTCGCGATTGGCTAAACCTATGTTGATGATGTTTTTAGTTTTTTTTATGTGATACTAGCAAATGGATTACCTGTCCTAGCAATCAGCGCCTCTCATGGCCAGTTGTTATACCAAAGTAGTTTCTGCAAGTGCATTGCCGGCCTTTGTAGGTTATTAGGAATTTAAGGATAGTGGATTTGAGGATTAAGATATGTATGTTTGTCTTCTATGATCTCGCAATCAATGAACTGATTTTGATGATGTTTTCAGAAAAGTATTTGTTATTTAATAAAAAAATATACAGGTATACTTAATTACTACAATTATATTTGTTATTGTGAGAAACCGGTTTAATGAACTCACTCTATTTTTAACCTGTAAAATTCTGAAACTCACGCTTAATTTTTCTTGAATTTCCTCCCACAAAAAATCAACTGCTAAATTATTATTAATCTATTGATATCTTTTAAAAGTAATATCTAAAAAAATATGAATAACTCACCCTTCTGCTTGAGGGAACCATTTTGTTTGATATTATTTTTGTACCTGAAAAATAAGAAACATAAATTAATTTCTTAAAATTTAAGATGGATATTTTTATTAAAAAATCTAATATAATAATGTAAAAGGAGTAGCATTCCACGTTTTGGGTTGTAGTATCTATTTTTTTTTGTGTTTTCCTGCCTGGTAAAACAGCGTACCTACTGGAAATAGACAGATTGCCAGAAACGCTTCGAGAAAGGATGGTACGTCCATGTCCGTTTTGCTCAGGACTTGGACGAGCACCTAGCTTCACTGACTAACAGACTGACAGACTACTATTCTAATTTGACGTTTCAAAAGTACCTATTTAAGGTTTAGTTGGAATAAATGATTTTGATTTGATTTGATTTGGCTGTCGCACTGCCCCCAGATAATGAATGCCAGTGAAACGAATTTTTTTTTTTCGAAACATTAATAACGAGATGTTTAGGATTTTGGTATATTATGTTGTATGTCATGTCGTATGGTCTATGCCATAAAATTTTGCGTCAAATTGCTTCCTCAGTCCACCTGAACATTTAAATCTTTAAAACTAGGTACGCAACAGATTTTGATGTACTTACTTAGTTTTTAATAGATAAGTTAAATATATACCTAATAGTGGAGAGGTATAGTATCAGTCTTGCACCAGTATGGGGGGAAATCATCAAAAGACTTCTCTTGGTGTGGAAGGAGCGGGAAGGAGGGAGAGTCAGGCTCTTTTACTGACTAAAAACCACCCCGTTTATTACCCTTCTGCTCTGTCCAAGCCGAGGTACAGTAAGTATAGAAACCTCGGCAGAAATACTTACAGCTTGACCTGCTATTTATAAAGTTTTCAAAGACCAAGTAACCTTGACCTCAGAAGGCTCTTTATTACACCTGTACGAGGAAATTGTATTATGCAAAATACCTGTGAAGTTACCTACATTTTTGGAGGTTAAAATAATTGAATTTGACATCATAAATTTAGACGTTACTGACATATGGCGAAGGAAAGCAAGGATGTTAAGGTTTCTATAGGGGGATAGTCATCAAATGACTTTTCGACGAGGCGAGAGGGAGTGTCAGACTCTTACTGACTAAAAACCCCACCCTTCGGAGTAGGTAGATTGATTTTTGGTACTTGTATCATAAATGCACACAGAAAGTATAACATGGATAAGCTATTTTCCCGGAAAGTAAATCCGGTATTTAAAGAATAATATGGCTCATTTTATTACAATTCCTACCTTTTGTTTGAGGATGGCAAATCATGAAATGACTCGGACTCTGGTAGAATAAAGTTCCTACATAAGTTCCGGTTTTTTTATAATCTACCAATTCCGGAGGGATGTCCAAATTAATATATACGTTTCGGATCTATGACCCCATTTCAATCTACCTACTCCGATCACTGATGATTACGCTTGACCCGACCCGGTCGATCCCGATTAAGATTTATGATACATTTAAATTTACAATATATTTAACACATTTTACAATAGAAAGGAAATTGAATATAAATCTTAAAATAAAACCTTGCACACAACGGATAAATTTAATTAACCTTATACATCATATTGCTAACATCCGAACTAGAGATAAAATTTTATCACACAGCCTGGCATTTTATATACACAATGCATATCAAGCTACTCCATAACCGTTACTAGATTTTTGAACTTATCACAAGACGATAAAGTTGTTATTGTAAAGATCCTTTTTAAATAATTTCCAGACATGACAGCTTATCAAACTACCCTTCTATCCGACAATAGACTATCGATCTTATTACAAAAGATGTACAGTTGAAAATGTTTTGATGAAATTTGAAGTTTTGGATGTGGCATTTGATTGATATGTTTAAACGTGGCGAATAAATTTTGATTTCGTAATGTTTAAGTAGCTTTTGAAGGTTTAATAAAAAAAAAACAAAAATAGTTTTGATAAGTGTACCTATGTACATAAGTAGTATATAAGTTCAGAGCTTTTACTGTGTAATTCAAGTGTGAGAGAGCCATGCTTCGGCACGAATGGGTCGGCTCGACCGGAGTGATACCACGGCCTCACAGAAAACCGGCGTGAAACGATAAAAATAAGAAGTTTGAGGGCAAATATAGGAAAACTATCGCAGTACATAAGAGGTATTAGAAGTCAAAGATTAGTAGCAGCTGTAGAAGTTATAAAAGCAAAATATCAATTACATGCACAATACGAAAACCCCAATACACACATGACACACTATCTCGACACAATGAAGCAAAAGTTAAATGCAGCATCTAGTAGGCTTAGGAGATATTTAACATGTACAAATCGCAAATTAGAAAATAGTAGATTTACAAATAATGAAAAATTCTTCTACAGAAACCTAACATCTAATAGCACCTTAACTCAAAACATACAAACGCCTTCTGCTGAGACGCTCCGAGAATTCTGGGCAGGTATTTGGGAAAACCCAGTGTATCATAACAACACAGCAGCCTGGATACACGAGGCAAATTTAGATCACGAGGGAATGGAATTTGAAACCATACCCATAGATACATTCATAAACGTTATCAAACACACACACAACTGGAAATCACCCGGTACAGACCACATACACAACTATTGGTATAAAAAATTTACGAGTTTACATCCTTACCTACACAATCACCTAAACACATTCATCCAAACACCACATTTACTTCCAACATACATCACTCAGGGTATAACATACATGATACCTAAAGACATGAATGACACCACAAACCCGGCTAAATATCGACCAATTACTTGCCTTCAGACTTTTTATAAAATTATAACAGCTTGCATCAGTGAACTAATCAACAATCATTTAACAAAATACGAAACCTTAGCAGAGCAACAAAAAGGTTGTCGCAAGTACAGTCAAGGTTGCAAAGAGCAACTAACTATTGACGCTGTCATTATGAACCACGCAGTAAAGAGTAAAACAGATATTCATACAATGTTTATAGATTACCAAAAGGCTTTTGATTCAGTTCCACACAGCTGGTTGTTGCAAGTGTTAAACCTATATAAAATCCACCCAACAATTAAACTATTTTTACAATCCACTATGCAAAACTGGCAAACTGTTCTTAGCATCAATCAAACTACGGCAAAAATAGTCACTCAACCAATTTACATTAAAAGAGGTATTTTCCAGGGCGATGCTCTGAGCCCTTTATGGTTCTGCATGGCATTGAACCCACTATCACACTTATTAAACAGAACAAATGCAGGTTACACTCTAACAAATAATGGTACACAATACATACTAACACACCTAATGTATATGGACGATATCAAATTGTACGCAGCAGATCAAATGTTATTATCCCATTTAGCAGATGTAACACAACAGTTTTCTACAGATATCTGCATGCAATTTGGAGTAGACAAGTGTAAAGTTATGTCAGTGGTTAAAGGGAAAGTTGAGAATAACAGTTACACACTTCAAACGGGCCAAACGATAGAACCCATGGAGGAACATGACACGTATAAATATTTAGGTTTTAGGCAATCTAGACAAATACAACACAAAAACACAAGACAGGAACTCATAAGAAAATTTACACATAGACTTAATCTTATTCTCAAGACAAATTTAAACGCTAGGAACACAATTAAAGCTATCAACACATTTGCAATACCTATTCTCACTTACTCCTTTGGAATAATACAATGGTCTAAAACAAATACCAGGAAATTACAACAAACCATCAACGCAACACTCACTAAACACCGAAAACATCATCCTAAATCATGCATACAACGACTCACGTTAACACGTAAAGAAGGAGGAAGAGGATTAATAGACATACAAAATCTACACAACAAACAAATTTCAAGCCTTAGAACCTATTTTCACAGTAAATCAGAACACTCGTTACTTCATACACATATTGTAGAAACAGACAAAAACTTCACACCGCTAAATCTGCAAAGCCGAGATACGCAAACAAATGAAATGATTGTTAACGATGAAGACAAGATTGCAGTATGGTCAGAAAAAGCGCTTCACGGAAGACATCGATCGTTCTTGAGCCAACCACACGTCGATAAAATTAAATCGAACGAATGGCTCAAACGTGGTGAATTGTTTCCCGAAACCGAAGGCTTTATGCTGGCCATACAAGATCAAGTCATAGCAACCCGCAACTATAGAAAATACATAATGAAAGATCCTAATCAGCAAAATGACCTATGCCGACACTGCAACCTGGCCTCAGAAACTATCCAGCACGTTACCGGAGCTTGTAAATCTCTCGCCCAGACTGACTACAAGCACAGGCACGATCAAGTCTCGGCCATAATACACCAACACCTAGCTTATAGATATAGCCTAGTTGATCAAATAACCGCGTACTATAAATATAAGCCCGAAACAATATTAGAAAATAGAAATTGTAAAATATATTGGGACCGAACCATTGTAACAGATAAAACGATACATTTTAATAGACCGGATATTACAGTACATGACAAAGTGAATAAAATAGTATACTTGATTGATATTGCTATCCCAAACTCACACAACATACAATCAACCATATCCGAAAAATTAAGTAAATACCAAGATCTTGCTATAGAAATTAAAACGCAGTGGAGAGTGCAAACAGTTCACATTGTCCCCATAGTCCTTTCAACCACCGGTATTATACCGAAGTCCCTCACACAAAGTCTTAATACTCTGCAAATGCCTGCATACACTCTCCACACGCTACAAAAAGCTACCATTCTCAACACTTGCCGCATCACCCGAAAATTCTTGACATCGTCTACTTTAACATCTACGTATTCTATTTAATCTTCCCCTTTTACACTTGGCTCCGGCCCGTGTATAAGGTTTCTTAAACTCTCGTATGAGAAGAAAACTATAATGTATTTAAAATAATAATAATAATAAGCCCGCAGGGCACCTTGAGGCGAGGTGACGGGAATTAGCGATCCCGCGGGCTACCATCATCCCGATTGCTCCAGGGAGAAGTCACCGTTCCTCATCTCCGGCTTGCCTTCATTGGCTGGCCGAAGTGGAC